TCACTGTTCACACTGTGTCTGTGCAGCCTGGCTCATTCCCGTGTGCTCTGTTCACACTGCGTCTGTGCAGCCTGGCTCATTCCCGTGTGCTCTGTTCACGCTGCGTCTGTGCAGCCTGGCTCATTCCCGTGTGCTGTGTTCATTGTTCACACTGCGTCTGTGCAGCCCGGCTCATTCCCGTGTCACGCTGCGTCTGTGCAGCCTGGCTCATACCCGTGTGCTCTGTTCATGCTGCGTCTGTGCAGCCTAGCTCATTCCCGTGTGCTGTGTTCATTGTTCACACTGCGTCTGTGCAGCCTGGCTCATTCCCGTGTGCTGTGTTCACTGTTCACACTGTGTCTGTGCAGCCCGGCTCATTCCTGTGTGCTGTGTTCATTGTTCACGCTGCGTCTGTGCAGCCTGGCTCATTCCCGTGTGCTCTGTTCATTGTTCACACTGCGTCTGTGCAGCCTGGCTCTTTCCCGTGTGCTCTGTTCATTGTTCACACTGCGTCTGTGTAGCCCGGCTCATTCCCGTGTGCTCTGTTCATTGTTCACACTGCGTCTGTGCAGCCTGGCTCATTCCCGTGTGCTGTGTTCACTGTTCACACTGTGTCTGTGCAGCCTGGCTCATTCCCGTGTGCTGTGTTCTCCTTAAGGGGACCCCCCCCCCCCGGTCTCTTTCCCCTCTGGACATGTTCATTCCTCTCTAACCCATGTCCCCACTTAAAGTCTTCTGACCCTGTTTTTGACTTCATCTCTGTTGGGCCTCTTGATGACCTTTAAAACAGTTTCCGGTTTGCACGGTGGCTCTGCCTGTGTCTCCATACCAGCCTGTCTCCACATGTCAGTCCTCGCCCTTCTGAAGAGTGGTGTGTGCTACCATCACCTCTATGACTGGCATGTTGGGAACGCAGGCACTTAGTCCTGCTGCCTCAGTGTCTGCAGGTGGATTCTGTGTCTGCTGAGTGATTTGAACCTGACATTTCAGAAGCCTGTGTAAGCATGTGTACGGCGAGGTGCCAGTTGTTAAAAAAGACCATGCCTGTGCACACATTTGTAAAGCAGTGAGTCAAGGCATACATGTTCTTGGTTGTGTAGTGTTTCCAAACTTCTTAAAAAGAATGCTCCCAGTAGCAATCTATAGGCCTGGTCCAGGGATGGGGAAACACACTTTAAAATCTGAGTCATCCATCCATCCACTCACCTCCCCATCTACCCATTATTCATCCATCTGTAGGCAGAGGCTACTCTTTTGTTTGCCAGCAGCCCAGACTCAAAATAATCACACAGAAACTATTAATTAAAGCACTGCTTGGCCTGTTAGCTAGGGATTCTTATTAAATAACTTTTATATCTTATATTAACCCATTCCTATTATTCTTTGTATTTTACCACGAGGCTCATGGTTTCCCAGTAAGGTTCTGGTGGGTGGGCATCTATCTCCTTTGGCAGCTACATGGCATCTCCCTGACTCCACCTTCTTTTCTCCTCTGTCTCTGCTTGGAATTTCCACCTTGTTCTATTCTGTGCTTTTTTGTTAACCAATGGTAATAAAACATTTTCACAGCATACAGAGGGTAATCCCATATCATCCATCTGTCCATCCATCTGTCCATCCATCCACCCATCCACCCAGCCATCCACCCACCCATCCACCCACCCATCCATCCATCCATCCATCCACCCATCCATCCATCCATCCATCCATCCATCCATCCATCCATCCATCCATGCATCCATCCATCCATCCATTTTGTAGCAGCAGGCCGCTTGTTCATCCCTGCTGTCCAGAACCAAAATAATCACACAGAAAACTGTTTTAATTAAATCACTGTTTGACCCATTAACTCTAGCTTATTATTGGCTAACTCTTACATATTAACTTAACCCATTTCTATTAATCTGTGTATCGCCACGTGGCTGTGGCTTACCAGCAAGATTCCAATCAGCGTCTATCTTCAGTGGCTCCATGACTTCTCTCTGACTCCTCCCTTCTTCCTCTCAGCATTCAGCTTAGTTTTTCCCGCCTAGCTAACTTCTGCCCTCCTATAGGTCCACAGCAGTTTCTTTATTCATTAATGGTAATCACAGCATACAGAGGGAAATCCCACATCACCTCCCCTTTTCTGTTTAAATAAAAAGGAAGGTTTTAACTTAAACATTGTAAAATTACAAAAAACAAAACAGGTATCATGCAAGAATTATAGTTACAATATTTATATCTACTTTATCTTTTATCATAACTAAGGAGAACTATAATTATAACTATAAATTCTTCAACTCCATCAAAGACTCCAGAAGGATATAATATTACCTAAGTAAACAGGAAGTACATTATAAGCAACTTCTAAAACTCTAGAATTGACAGAGACATCTCACTTCCTGGACAGTTACCCAAAGTTTTTCTGTACCATTGGGGCATCCATCTTCAGCCTACTGGCCCATAGTATCCAGAAGACTTTTCCATGAAGCAGGAAATTTCAAAGACAGTTCCACCTATATTGGCAGTTTGTCAGTCACTTTCTTCTGTGTCCTGCAGAATGTCTGGCAGACTCTTTCATGAAGCAGGAACCCTGAAGGATCATCCCACCTTTAGACAAGTTCAGCAGTCATTTCTCTGTGGATCTTGCATGTCTAGTTTATCCAACAGTCCAGGCAAGAGCAGTTTCTTGCCAAATAGTCAGCCAACTCCATAAGGAGCCTCCTTGATGCCCATCTTCCTCTTGATGTAATTAGTACTGCCAGGAGCAGATGTGTCTCAGTGTCATGAAATGTCCTAAGTTTTTAGAACATTTAAATGTCATATTTTATAGTCTTTGAAAGGTTTGAAGAATGCCTATTCATCTGAAATACATCTTTTTACATCTAGAAAACCCAACTAACACGACTACAAGTTTGACTATTATAGATGATTATCTATGACATTACATTTTTAAATGAGCTGAACAAATACAATACCTAAATCAAGAGCTGAGTATAACAAAATTGACCTTAGGTTTGTATCAATAAACCAAGATCCATACCCGTGCAAATCTCTATAGCATATCCCCCTTTAAATGTAAACAAACATTTATAAACAATATTTGAGAATATGGGCATAGTTTTTCTCCAAACTGCTTCCTGTTGTTTTTTGGGTGAAGCAATTTTTTGAGGGGTGTTCAAGGTGACCTTTCAGGGGGTCTTGGTCCATTAAACCACATTAGTCTGGAAGGATTCCACAGGTTCTCATCCTCCACCCTTTTTCCTCCCAGCATTCAGCTTAGTTTTTCCTGCCTAGCTAAGTCCTGCCCTCCTATAGGTCCAAAGCAGTTTCTTTATTCATTAATGGTAATCACAGCATCCAGAGGGAAATCCCACATCATCTATCCACCCATTCATCCATCCACCCACCCACCCACCCATCATCCATCCACTTACCTACTCTATGCTGGGCATGGAACCAGGTGCTCGTACATACTAGGCAATGCCCTCTGCCCCGGGCGGCACCCTCACTCTCAAGACAGAGCTTTGAGATCTCAATGGAGGATCGTGGAACGGGGCCATTGGAACCCACTGTTGGCTATGGTCCTACTGTATTAAATGCTGTCTAGTTTTATTTTCAATGTCTGAAGTTAGAATTGTTTCATTAATAATATACTTGCATGGGACCTTAGTTTCTGTTGCTGTGGTAAAATTCTCTGGCAGTCACAGTTAAGGACAGGGGTTCATTTTTGCTCATGGTCAAGGGTACGGTAAGTCATGGTGGGAAAGCCAGACTTAGGGGCCCCAAGCCGCTGCTCACAGTGTCCACAGCCAGGAAGCAGAGAGCGATGACTCCAGGCTGCTCTGTTCCTTCTCCATCTGTACAGACCTGGATCCAGACCAGGGTTGGCGCCACCCACAGTGGGTGGGCTCTTTCAATCCTTCCTGTTTCTGGAGCCCTGTTTCCCAGGCA